ATAACATAAACACAGATCCTGAAGGTGTGACCACGTCCATTTGTCATGAATATTGTAGCATTTGGAGTGAACCCCATCATTCCTTCAACATCAGCATCACTATTTGTTTGGCATAAAGGCCTTTGACCAGTGTGAGGGTTATGCATGTATAGTGTTGGTTTTTCTTTCTTTACACACATTTTCTTTTTTTTAAATTAAATTGGTAAGTAAGAAATTACAGGTATGAATCAGCTTTATGCACTGGAAACTGCTTATGTTTTTGATGTTTGTGCTGTCACAGTACTCATGAGAACGATTATGTTCCACATCCTATTCGCTCACTTTTGTAGAGCAAAGTTTTCATGTAAATATTCACAAACTGACTGCATTCATAATGTAATTTTAGATACAATGCCATATTAAATCTGCTGCACATATTCTTAAATTGAAATGTCTCTTTTTCATCAATCCATCCATTATCGTTACCGCTTATTCCCTGATGGGGTCGCAGGGGGAACTGGAGCCTATCCCAGTGGTCAACAGGCGAGAGGCGGGGTCACCCTGGACAGTCCGCCAGTCCATCACAGGGCCATACACACAAGACATACAAGGACAAACAACCACACACACTCACGTTTACCCCTAAGGGAAATTTGGAATGTCCAATCAACCTAAACATGCAGGTTTTTGGACTGTGGGAGAGAATCAATGCAGAAACAGGGAGAACATACAAACTCCACCCAGAAAGGTCCTGGGTCTCCTGGGACTCAAACCCAGAACCTTCTTGCTGGGAGATGACGGTTCCACAACCACCACACCTCTTTTTTAACATCATAAAATAAAAGAAAAAAGAAGAAAAAAGCCACACGTTTCAGTTTTCAACAGACTTTTATTCATGTTTTTAGTTCCGTATTTCGATAATTATGAAAACTGATGTGGACTGTGTGGAATGATGTCACTCAGCTGATGTTTACAAAGTTGGCTCTGCATTTAAAGACAGATTCAGAGGGAAGCTTTAATCATGAGTCGAACACCATCATGTGAAAAACAAATCCC